TGGTATTGTAATTTTTTGTTGTTTTTAAATCATCATATATATATTCACAGTCGAAATTGTCTAAGACGGCCATCCATTGTCGAAGAGATGCAATTCTTACACAGTGCCATTATAGTATTTTTTAACGCAAGAGGGAATGGGGAGTGGTCGTTTGTACAAGTGACTGTCTTAGAAAGGTGGCTGTTAGAATAATAATAATAATAACTGCATTTATATAGCGACTGTCCCTGCTCAAGAGCATGCTCTATGTGCTTTACAACCATTATTACCCCAGCAGACCCTCTGAGAACACTCAGAAACATTCTCAGCTCCCGCAGAAGCATACAGTGCAAGGTGCAGAATTAGAACAGGTTAGGCTGTTTATACAATTAAAAATATACATATATAATATTATTTTCAGAGCTTCGGGAGGTTGGCGGGTGCTGTGGTGCGATTTGCTCCTTCTTTCCTATAAAAAAATAATCTATCGTCTCTATCTCCCCTCCTTCTTTTTTGTGTTTGTTACTCTCTTGCAACACCTCTAATCTTCGGCACTTATACGACCTTACTGTGTTGCAAGTGCCGTAAAGCTCTTACTAAAACTAAAACAAAAAGGAGCTTATCTGACTCCAGAAGTTCTTTTTCCATGAACATTTCTACATCATGAGGACTTATCGCTACACAAGAATGATAAAGTTTAATCCTTTCAGTTCCTAGTTTTGAGAAATTTGACGTAAACATTTTGAGTTTCACGATATGTTAGTGTTAGGCATCGTGGTGGAATCAGGCTCTCGTCAATTTTTGTGCATGTAGAGTTATTGGAATCATCTTATAGCTTCTTCACTTGTCTTTATTTAGATAAAAAAATATCCATTTATCTTGGATACAAGTAGAGATATTTGCGAATGAAGGAGGTGGGGTTACCTGTTTTCAGAGGAAAAAATAGTGAGAAAATGTCCACCAAAGATTAGTTTTTTTCTTAGCTTAAGAGTCGGTGGTAACAGAAAATTTACATTTTTTTGTGCGTTTAATCAACATCTTTCAGAAAAATCAACACAGAAATAAGTTTTTTAATGAGTATGAAAGGTGTTGAGCCAAAAAACAAAAATTTGATAAAAATTCACAAACATGTGGAAAAATGCAAGTTTCTTCACTTTGATAATCTTGACAAGAGCCTGATTCCACCACGCTGCCTCACATATTATGTCAAGCCTTTTCGAATGAAATTCTTTGAATATCTTGATAACGACTCCGAATAAACTTGTACTTTTGATAGAAGAGATAGGACATGATTTGGTTTCTGACCTCATTGTAGTAACTCAAAACGGCCAAAAACGATTTTGATACGGCAGGTAGAGAACATACATGTACGTACAATTTGGTTTCTGACCTCATGGTCCCAGTAACTCAAAACGGCCAAAATAAATTAATGATTTTGATACAAGAGATAGAACCTACAATTTGGTTTCTGACCTCATGGTCCCAGTAACTCAAAACGGCCAAAATAAATTAATGATTTTGATACAAGAGATAGAACCTACAATTTGGTTTCTGACCTCGTGGTCCCAGTAACTCAAAACGGCCAAAATAAATTAATGATTTTGATACAAGAGATAGAACCTACAATTTGGTTTCTGACCTCATGGTCCCAGTAACTCAAAACGGCCACAATAAATTAATGATTTTGATACAAGAGATAGAACCTACAATTTGGTTTCTGACCTCATGGTCCCAGTAACTCAAAACGGCCTCAACAACAAAAACAAAAACATGACTTTGATAGAGCAGATAAAACATTTGATACGTGACCTCATGGTCTTCCTTATTCAAAACGGTCACAGACACACACACACACAATGATTTTGATAGAGCAGATGTTGTTTTCAAATCCCTTTAGCTGCGAGCATTTCGCTCTTGGCAGCGTAATGCCTCCCTCAAGTAAGCACATGTCCTTGTCATCTGGCCAGCGCCAGAAAATCTGTAGGTGTGTGTAGAAGCCTGCGTCGAGATAGAGCATATAAGACATTTTGATACCTGACCTCATGGTCCCAGTAACTCAAAACGGCCAAAATAAATGATTTTGATACAATAGATAGAACATACAATTTGGTTTCTGACCTCATGTTCTTAGTAACTCCAAACCGTCAAAAATGTAAGATAGAACTTTTTAGTTCTAAGGTAGATAGATAGATAGATGGATGGATGGATGGATGGATGAATGGATGGATGGATGGATGGATAGATGGATGGATTGATGGATGGGTAGATGGGCAGCGAGAGAGAGCCAGCCTTGTAGAGTAAGTCCTAGTATATGTCGGTGATCTGGAGAAACCGCAGGGTGGGGGACTTGGGCTGGGGATAGATGGATAGATGAATGGACGGATGGATGGATGGATGGATGGATGGATGGATGGATGGATGGATGGATGGATGGATGGATAGATGAATGGATAGATGGATAGATGAATGGATGGATGGACATATGGATGGATAGATGGATGGATGGATGGATAGATGGATGGATGGATGGATAGATGGATGGATGGATGGATAGATGGATGGATGGATGGATAGATGGATGGATGGATGGATGGAAGGATGGATAGATGAATGGATGGTTGGATAGATGAATGGATAGATGGATAGATGAGTGGATAGATGAATGGATGGATGGATAGATGAATGGATAGGTGGATAGGTGAATGGATGGATGGATAGATGGATGGATGGATGGATGGAAGGATGGATAGATGATGGATGGATGGATAGATGGATGGATGGATGGAAGGATGGATGTAATCTTTCTTGCTTGGACGTCAGCGAAGATCTATTATCGTTACTAGGCGATATTATGTGACATTCGTCGAGATTCCTGGGTCCGACAGTTTGACAGGTGTAATCGGATGATTCGTGTATTAGATTAGATTAATTTATCCTCTACTGCTCTTAACACAGATCTGACAAAAAAAATGACAGTGATAAGCTGATTTTTTTAAAAAGTCGGCATGACATATGGAAATCATATTTTTAAAAATAAATTTATTATCGTGACGGACATTCATCATTGTGGAACAAAATGTCAACAAAATTTACGGGAAAAAAAATAACAAGTATGTTGTAGAGCTTGATGTATGTGTCGTTGGGAGCTTCTTTGGTGTGGTCTGCTCCTTCTTTCCTATCAAACATACTATTATTCCGTCCCTTTTTGTGTTTGTTACTCTCTTGTAACACCTCTTATCTTCGGTATCAAAATTTATATGGCCTAATTGTGTTGTAAGTGCTGTAAAACACTTAAAAATAATGTGACGATGAGCATCGATAGTCTTTGTCTCATTCCTCTTCTTAGTAGTAATGGATTTAGATGAACTTAACATTTTGTACCAAGATACCGTCTTGAGAGAAATAAAACAGATTTATACTTTCCCTGAAAAATCTCCTATTTTGACTTACGACTATAATAAAGTCAGGACCATGGAGAGAGGTGCGTCATATGGTTGGTCAGAGACAGTGCTGAGATGCTTAAACATGGTCATGACCAGGGAGAGAGGGGGGACTACCGTACCTGGTCAGAGACAGTGCTGAGATGCTTAAACATGGTCAGGACAAAGAGGAGGGACTACCGTACCTGGTCAGAGACAGTGTTGAGATGCTTAAACATGGTCAGGACCAGGGAGAGAGGGGGGACTACCGTACCTGGTCGGAGACAGTGCTGAGATGCTTAAACATGGTCAGGACCATAGAGAGAGGGGGGACTACCGTACCTGGTCAGAGACAGTGCTGAGATGCTTAAACATGGTCAGGACCAGGGAGAGAGGGGGGACTACCGTACCTGGTCAGAGACAGTGCTGAGATGCTTAAACATGGTCAGGACCATAGAGAGAGGTGCGTCACATGACTGGTAGTCCCCGAACCTGCCTGCCCCCTGGCCGTACACTTTGCCAGATCTAAGCGATGCTGTGGAGGTCGTAATACATTATTATTGTTATTGTTATTGGTATTGTAATTTTTTTTTTTAAATCATCATCGTCAATAATAATAATAATAATAATAATAATAATAATAATAATAATAATAATAATAATAATAATAATAATAATAACAATAATAATAATAATAATAATAATAATAATAATAATAATAATAATAATAATAATAATAGTAATAATAATATCATCATCATCATCATCATCATCATCATCATCATCATCATCATCGTAATAATAATAATAATAACAATAATAGTAATAATAATAATAACAATAATAATAATAATAAAAATAATAATAATAATAATAACAATATAGATAGATAGATAGATAGATAGATAGATAGATAGATAGATAGATAGATAGTATCATCATATATCATCGTCATCATCATCACATCATCATATATATATATAATAATAATAATAATAATGATAATAATAATAATAATGGTAATAATAATAATAATAATAATAGTAATAATAGTAATAATAATAATAATAATAATAATAATAATAATAATAATAATAATAATAATAATAATAATAATAATAATAATAATAATAATAATAATAATAATAACAATATCATCATCATCTTTTCGCCGGAATTTTACAAAATCGGTTACCAGGACCTGGCTGAATTTCTCCTATTTCTTTTCAATTCAGTTTTCTTCACAGGCAACTATCCAGAGGAGTGGACCAAGTCTATGATATTTAGTTTGCACAAAAAAGAAAAAGTAAATGATGTAAATATCTATTGGGGCATTAGTTTACTAAATGTTCTTGGTAAATTATTCTCATTCATATTGAATAGGAGACTGCAACAATGGTGTGATGAAGGTAACCTCATCCCTGAATCTCAGGCTGGTTTTAGACGAAATTACTCTACAATAGATCATATATTTTCACTCCAATCTTTAGCCCAAAAATATATCTCCAAGTCTGGCGGAAGGTTCTATATATGTTTGTCGACATTTTTAAAGCATTTGACTGGGTTGACAGAGAAGTCTTGGCTGTTCTAGACCAATGTATACCATTTTGAAAAATATGTATCAAAGTGTTCTTTCATGTGTTAAAGTCTGTTCAGATGAACGAGGATCCATGAAATCTTATGTTACTGAATACTTCCAATGTACATCCGGTGTCAAACAAATTATTTTCTTTGTTTATGTCTCAATTTGAAAAACACCTTTCAGATTCAAATACCCATGACTATACAGGTATTGCCCAATGATAATGATGGTATTTCATGTTTAATGTACGATGATGACCTAAGTCTTTTTGACGACAATGTCAGAGGTTTACAAAAGAAAATCAATGTGTTAGATAATTTCTGCCAGATGTGGGTTTTATAAGTGAAAACAGAGAAAAGTAAGATTGTTGTTTTTAGAAATGGAGGCTATCTCAAAAGATCTGAGAGATGGTATTGGGAGGATAAGATCTTAGAGACGGTAACCTATTATAGTTACTTGGGCATTTCATTTTCATCGCGTCTATGCTGGAGACGAACGCTGGAAGATCGAGCTTGTAAAGCTCAACGGATTGTTTCTCGAACAAGAAGGCTTTTCGGTTCTTACCAAGAATTAAATTTCGAAACCGCAAAAAACATTATTGATATAAAGATTAAACCAATGCTGCTTTATGGCTCTGAAATTTGGAGTACCAAAAATTGGGACGCGGTTGATAATGTTCAGGTGAAGTTCTGGAAAGCCTAAATTTTGGGTCTTGGCAAAACTACACCCAAATGTTTAGTTCTAAAAGAAGTGTGAAGAACCAACTTATGTTCTGATTATATGCATTGTGACATTAAATTCTGGTGCAGACTTTAATACTTAGAAAATGACAGATATCCAAAGAAATGTTACATGCAATTATATCGTTCCTGTGAACTGGGCAGAGTCAAATGGGCTACAGAAGTTAAAAACCTATTATTTTCCTTGGGTTTTGGATATACCTGGTTTTCTCAAAGTGTTGGGAGTGCTAGACTATTTCTAAGTGAAGTAAAAAGTAGACGTGTTGATCATTCTGTGCAGAACAAAGAGGAAGAGGTCTGTCGCAAGTATAATGTTTTCTCTTTTACAATTCCGTTTCAAGAAACAGCTGAATATATCACTAACCTCCCACGGTATTGGAACAGAAGATTCATAGCTTGGTTAAAAACCCATAGCCTTCCATTAAATAACAATCTGTATCGGTGGAAATTAACTAATTTGCCCTTATGTGAGAGGTGTAACTCTCATGAAATTGAAGATGAATTTCACTTTATTTTCTTTTATTCACTCTTTGTCCATCAAAGGAAATTGTTAATCCCTCCCAGCCTGATTCGGCCCTGTGACAGAAATATGCAATGTTTGACTCATGATAAGAAATATGTACGTATTCATTATGGAAGCTGGAAACGTTATTTATAAGAATGAGTGTTTTGTGTGATGTGATGTGGGCCAATGGCCTCAAACACTGAATAAACTTACTTACTTACTATCCTCATTAACAACAACACAC